TTGGGATAATCCTGGGTGCCCAGGCCTTTTCCTTTGGGCAATCCTGGGTGCCCAGGCCTTTTCCTTGGGATAATCCTGGGTGCCCAGGCCTTTTCCTTTGGGACAATCCTGGGTGCCCAGGCCTTTTCCTTTAGGGCAATCCTGGGTGCCCAGGCCTTTTCCTTTGGGATAATCCTGGGTGCCCAGGCCTTTTCCTCTGGGATAATCCTGGGTGCCCAGGCCTTTTCCTTTAGGATAATCCTGGGTGCCCAGGCCTTTGGGACAATCCTGGGTGCCCAGGCCTTTTCCTTTAGATAATCCTGGGTGCCCAGGCCTTTGGACAATCCTGGGTGCCCAGGCCTTTTCCTTTGGACAATCCTGGGTGCCCAGGCCTTTTCCTTTAGGATAATCCTGGGTGCCCAGGCCTTTGGGATAATCCTGGGTGCCCAGGCCTTTTCCTTTAGATAATCCTGGGTGCCCAGGCCTTTTCCTTTGGATAATCCTGGGTGCCCAGGCCTTTTCCTTTAGGGCAATCCTGGGTGCCCAGGCCTTTTCCTTTGGGATAATCCTGGGTGCCCAGGCCTTTTGGATAATCCTGGGTGCCCAGGCCTTTTCCTTTGGGACAATCCTGGGTGCCCAGGCCTTTTCCTTTGGATAATCCTGGGTGCCCAGGCCTTTTCCTTTAGATAATCCTGGGTGCCCAGGCCTTTTCCTCTGGGATAATCCTGGGTGCCCAGGCCTTTAGGACAATCCTGGGTGCCCAGGCCTTTTCCTCTGGGATAATCCCCTCCAGGTTCTGGGCATGGGCTGGGTTCCTTCCCAGCTCCAGGAATTCCTTCCCTCAGCTCCAGGGTTGCACATTCACCCCTCCAGGGGAAGAATATGGGAATGGAGTTAGAAAAAGCAAATTATTTATCCCAAATTTTTGGGCTTCTCACTGAAATGCACAACAGTGCCCACCCCTCCACACTGCTGGGGTGGTGGTTTTGAACACTTCTCTTTAAATACCTGTAAGAGCTCAGGACTGGGTTTATAAAGAACTGAAAATTTCACTTCCCCTATATTTTTTATGCCAGAATTCTTTTGTTTGTTATTAGGATTTAAGTGCATGTGAAGGATATTTTGTCAGCCAACTTTATAATTATTAATTGAGCCCTTTTAGAGCCCCTGGCTGAGGTTGGAGCTGAGAAATGCAGTGGATTTTCCCAGCTCAATCATCCAGCAGGGCAATTCCAATTGTGGCACAGCCAGAACCAGAGCAGGATAAAACTGCCCTGCAACAACAGCAGCAAAGGGAGCTGGAGCTCATTTTGCCCAAACTTTTTAAATTCTTTTAATCCAACTCTTCAATCTGTTGGCAAAAGAATCCTTTAGAACCACATCAGCCCAGCCAGAGTACAAATTACAGGAGTAAAAAAAAAAAAGATAAGAGCCTTGGGCATAGAGAGGTTGCTGGGCATTTAAAGTCCTGACAGGATTAAAAAAAATATTTACATTTTACTCATAATTGTTTCAAATCCTTGGATCAGGTTGTGGAAGGTGGTGCGCTCGTCGTGTTTGTAGATCCAGCACTTCCTCATCAGCTGATCCACCTGGCAACNCTTAACCCCCTCCAGGAGCTCCTGCCGAGCGGGGTGAGCGCCCCCGGGCAGCCACTGCAAGCACAGAGGTGACACAGGGGGTGGCTGCCCTCGCTTGGACAGGAGGGGACAGCGTTGGCTTTGTCACCTGTGCACAGAGCACAGGGAGCTGGGGCAGCTCCAGCTGAAAGCAATAAAAACCCAGAGGAAAGAAAGCTGATCCTTTCTCCAGTCCTCAGCCTGAGGAAGTTAAAAGAGGAAGTCTTGATAGTAATTATTTTGTATTTTTTTAACTCAGAATGTGGGGTTTTTTTTCCAACTTTCCTTTTTCCAGGATTAAGAGCTCTGCATTTACAGCCTTTTGATTTTTAATATTTCTTCTTAATCCTGGAATGGAGCGATACCAAATGGATTCCCAGAGCCTCGGTGACGTTCTCAATAAATGCCTGTCCAAAGGGAGATGCTGCCCTGGGATATCCCCTGCCATTTGGACAGTGGAAAATCTTTGTTTTTCCAGCTTTCCCTTGGAGGGATTCATTCCCAGTGTGAGGCAGCCTCCTCCTTCCTTCCACAGGTGTGGCACAGCTCTTCCTGGGCCACCCCACATTGTTTCCCACTTTTGAGTGTATTTTCCTTTGAAAGACTTTTTGTATTTTTAGCTTCTTATCAGCTCTGCCTCGAGCTGTTCTCTTCAGCAATCCTTCCTTTTGCCCCCGTGGCAGCAGATGGGGAGCCAGCCCTCATTCCAGTCCATGGAATTCTGCTGCCAACCCATCAGGAGCCACCTCCTTCTCCCTTTTCTTTGCTAGAGAACACTGAAGCCATTTTTCAATACTGATTTTTTTAAATTAAAAGTCTTAAACTTTTGCCTTTCAAGCTTTGGGATGTGACCAGGATCCACATTTTCAAAGCTTAAAAAAAATCCCAAGCAAATTCCCTCTTCCCTCAGCTGCTCCACAACCAGGAGCCAGGAGCTTTTCTGGGATTCTGCCTGTATGTATTGATAAATTCACTTGTAATATTTTGTTTCAACTGTTTGTATATGCAACTTTCTCAACTTGTTACACTTTTCAATGAAAATAAATTGTTGGTACTTACTTCAAGTGGATTTTTTTGTGGGAGGAAAACAGCCCTGGACTCCTTTAATCAGGTAGGGTAGGAAAAGGTTTTAAAGGAACACCATTCCTATGGACATGCAATTTAAAAAACTTTTCCTCTGTTTAATTTATGATTAAAAAGGGAGGCACATGGAGAAAAAAAAAATTTATTAGACTTGTTTGTATAAAGAGTAACAAAGTGCTTACAGATTAAATTCAGCTTCCTAAGTGACATACAGAAACAATAACACTGTAAAAATAAATCTGACCTCCTTGGAGCTCATAATTACCATTTTTATATATA